AAGAATATATAATTATTTAGACTATATATATGTAATAGTACTGACGAAGAAGAAAGTGATAATCAGTCATTGTCTCTTGTTCTTCGTCAGCACTATTACATATATATAGTCCGAAAATAGTTTTTTCTAATTTTCTCTTCGCAAAGCCCGTTAAGACGCGTCATAAAAACTCCAGACACGTTCAGACGCGCCTTTATAGATTTCTCTTGGCAAAGCGCGTTAAGACGCATTTTTTTTATAAACAGTGGCGAACGCGTCTGACAAACGTTTTAAGAAAAAATCGCGTTCAGACACGTCTTTTTTAACAAAAATTCCGTCTAAGCGCGTCACGGTACGACGCGTTTAGACGCGTCTTGGAGAATTCTCTAGGCAAAGCGCGTTAAGACGCGTTTTTTTTTAAATCAGTGCCAGACGCGTCTGAACGCGTCGTACAATGACGCGTCGAGACGCGTCTGGCAAACGTTTTAAGAAAAAACCGCGTTCAGACGCGTCTAAGCACGTCACGGTACAACGCGTTCAGACGCGTCTTGGATACTTCTTTTGGTAAAGCGCGTTAAGACGCGTTTTTTTAATAAAAAGTGCTAGACGCGTCTAAACGCATCTCGGTACGACGCGTTCAGACGCGTCTGACCATTTTTTTCTGAAAAAAACGCGTTTAGACGCGTGTTTTTCAAAATAAATGCGTCTTTTCAGACGCAATGACTTTACATGGGCTGTATCCATTGAAATTAGATGATTTACACTTGCGAGCAAATTGTAGTCGATAATAAATGGATTCATCTTTGAACTAACCTCGAATGACTCGTACAAATAGCCCAAAGCTATTTTGATGCGACCTCGATTCAAGAATATTATAGCAATACCTGCAAGTAGTGTTATGTCTTTCGCGTTTCCTGGAATGTTAAAAGCTTTCATGAAATAATTCAACGCTGAAGTGGAATCACCAACTGCATAATGAGCTTCGCCCATAAGAATGAATATATATTTTACTGACTGATCAGTTTTTAGAAGTAAGTGCCCGAATTTTGAAGTCGCTTCCTGGCGGTAGGGTAATGCATTTGTCACATCTTCATTTTGAGCGTAAAGAATTGCAAGAGCATTGTACTAGTGTTAATCTGATGAGCGGGCTCGTAAACTTTTCTCTATGAAACTAAAGAGGATCCCTAATCATTCATCCAACATTCGATGGTCGGTTTTTTATACCCTTGGAGTTTTTTCGGTTTTTCTACATGAAGAAAGGGATTTTGAAGGCTGCTAAGGTGATATTCGTGATCAGCTCGGTAAGGCGAATCAGAATATGTATTATAAAGTCAAAAATAAATTGCACTGGATTTATGAATTAGCTGCACTTTACATTGCAACGGTGCAATGTAAAGAAATTAGTGTCGAAAAATTGAAGTTAAGAATACCTTCTATTCGTTCTGTATCCAAAAAGTCGATTTTGATCGCGTCGCTTCGACGTCGAAAAACGACGCCGAAGCCAAAGATTAATATTAGACACTAGGCATGCACCGAGCGTGGGAGCCGCTCGGTGCTCGAGATACGAGCGGACCGAGCACCGAGCGCGCTCGGCTTTTTTACAAAACTGCACATTTTGTTTGTAACTCCTGAACAAAGCATCAGGTAAATTTGGTCCAAGAGGCCCACAACTATAGAGAATCAAATTCCCTACAATGTCTATGCCAAGCAACATTACAAAAATTACATATATACGCACACTGCAGATACAAATATAAAAACCGCAACATTTGGGATAAAGACTTTAGAGGCAGAAAAAGTTTACAGACAAAAAATAAAAATAAAAATTGTTTCATGTAAAAAAAAAAAGAATAAATATAAAAACGCTTACGTCAGATTTTCTCTCTCTTCAACAAAGTTTGTCCAGCAATTTGTTTGTTTGCGCACATTTTGGTGTTGGTGCATAACAATACTTCGTGCAAATTCTGCTTTGGGTCCGATATGTTCATGTTTGCCAACTTATACGGGTCAAGATTGTTCTGCCGTGTTAAATCCCTGTTTATCACAACCATGTGACACGGTAAATTCTTATAATTGTACAAATAAAGGTCATCGTTTGTGTGCAACTGTCATCCAGGTTTTACAGGTGCAGTTACGATCTTAGTGTTTTCCAAAAGCAAAAATTTTAATGCTTGTTATTTTTAGATCAGACATGTTCAGTTGACATAAATGAGTGCACGACTGTTACTGCTTCATGCCGTAACGGTGGAAGATGTGCGAACACGAACGACGGTTTTCAATGTTCTTGTTCATCAGCTTACGAAGGAAGATACTGTGATATTCCCACTGATCCTTGCATTGGGTGAATTAACAGTATCAATACGTTCGCTCAGTATTGAGTTTTATACATTTGATCGTCTTCAGTAATCCATGTGTAGCATCCAGTACAATATCGTGTCGTATGACAACACCAGTATCAAGTCAAAATGGTACATTAAGTTATGTATGTACTTGTCGACCGGAATACACAGGTTTGTTCCTATTGTGACTTTATTCTTGTTAAAAAAGCATCAAAATTAAATGTTTTATTTGAAGGAGCACTTTGTGAGGTAGGAATTAGCCCTTGTGCCAGTCAACCATGTGCTTTTGGCACACATTATAAAGATCTTGCTGGTTGGTCATGTGTTTGTGATCCTGGATGGACGGAAGTACAATGTAAAGACGGCATTAATGAATGTGAATCCATGCAGCTGTTTGTATTGATGGTGTTAATAGTTATCATTGTAGCTGTTTAGTAGGATTTATTGGTGCAAATTGTGAACTTCCAACAAATCATTGTTTTGTTAATTTATGTCGAAATGGACGTAAGAGGAAGAAGAAGATTAAGCGGAGAACAAATAAGTAAATAAGTTCATGCTAGAGGGCATGGAAGAGTGGAATTGTAATTTTAGGTTAATGTGTTGACATCGTGGTTTCTTACAGTTGTATTTGTCCTGTTGGTTGGACAGGCGTGAATTGTGAAGTAAACATCAATGAATGTTTATCGCTTGTTTGTCATCCAAATGCAACATTTATCGACGGACAAGGAAATTTCACTTGCATTTGTCCTCTATTGCATGGATATACACGATTTTCACATGGTGAAGATATCTACATTATCTTTCAACTTTAGCAGATAACTTTTAGAACATCTTTTTTAATTATCGATGAGTATACCATGTCTTCAAGTTGAGGTAAAAATGAAGCACACAACTGATCAGTACCCATAATAACACCCATTAACTAATCGACAGAACTATGAAAACCATTAAAGATTTCGCTGTCTTTTAGATTAATGAATATGAATGTTTGTGTAATTCAATGTACAGTGGTTCACGATGTGAACTTGTTGTCGATCGACGAAGGAAGTGGATGTTTTGCCTTGTCGAAAGTGTGAGATGTGTAGTCGGCGTTGTCGAGTGTTTATAACAGCGTGGTTGGTGAAGAGCCAGTCGGAGCCGAGGATGAGATCGGCGAGAAGGTGGTCGACGACGAGAGCCGAAA